AAATTAAAACGAGCCGAGCTCATCGAGACGAAGCAGATGGTTGGGTGGATTCCACGGTGGAGCAGGGAGCTCCACCAGGCAGAGAGTCTTGCTCCCACTGTCTCGGACTCAGCGCCAGCTGTCGGCAGCTGGACAGTGACGGGAGAGCCACGTAGCGATTAATACTCCATTTGTCAGGGCTGTCAGCTCTGAAAAATAACGACAATGGCTGACATTTGCGACGTGTGTTAAGAGTTTTCAAAGCGCCTCCTCCCATAATCACCCTTGAGATGGGAAGGCCAGGAAGTAGTAACTCGGTTTTACAGACAAGGAAACTCAGACTCTAAGAGGTTTTGTCATTTGTCCGCCTCCACGGAGTTTGGAGGGTGGAGATGGGAGTCAGGATCGGGCTTCGTGGCTTGGAATCCAGGCTCCGCTCCACAGAGCGTCTCTGGGGTCTGCTGTCCATGTAACCAGCTAGTAAGTGTGGGATTGTCACCTGCTTTGGGCCTGTCACTAGGCTAGCTTTTGAAAGGGACACACAAGAGTATAACATATGCATCTGGCTCTCAGTGAGTTCAGGGCAACCTGAAGCACTTTGTTGGGGCCCTGATCATGTGGTCGGCCCCTGAGCACAATATCTGTCTAGGCAGCAGGGCCTGGTTAGCAGGGAAGGCTCCAGAAGAGAGTCAGGGCCCAAGCTGGTCTTGAAGGGTGAGAACTCAACCTTCATGGTGGTGTTGGAGGGCAGGAGTGGACAAAGGCTCAGCAGGTGGGCATACTGGCCTGGGTGACGAGAGCAGCAGTGTGGGGGTCACAGTGGAAGAGAACAGGACAGTGGGCAGCACTGGCCTTGAGCAAGGCATTTGGGCCACTCTATTCACACAGCTGTGCAGCAGGATGGGAGACAGTGACACATGGGACATGGTCCCTCCCTCAGGAACAGGACAGGTAGGATGGTCTTCCTGTCCTCTCAGAACAGATGGCTCCCTCTCACATTCTAATAGTAGGAGGCATCTTTTACTATTCAGCACTCAGAGTAATAAGGCTTACATTTTCCTACAATTTTTTTTTTTTTGAGACAGAGTCTCACTTTGTTGCCCAGACTAGAGCGAGCGCTGTGGCATCAGCCTAGCTCACAGCAACCTCAAACTCCTGGGCTCAAGCGATCCTCCTGCCTCAGCCTCCCGAGTAGCTGGGACTACAGGCATGCACCACCATGCCCAGCTAAGTTTTTCTATATATATTAGTTGGCCAATTAATTTCTATTTATAGTAGAGACGGAGTCTCGCTCTTGCTCAGGTTGGTTTCGAATTCCTGACCTTGAGCAATCCGCCTGGCTCGGCCTCCCAGAGTACTAGGATTACAGGCGTGAGCCACCATGCCCAGCCCTAAAATTGTTTTCAATTACAATCAAGTCATGTTCACTACCTTAGCTCAGAATCTCCACCAGTGTGCCCTGTGGAACAAGCCCTGTTCTCTGTGTTCAAGTGAGAATGGAGAAGCCTTAATGCTATGTCCCTGTCTTGGAGCGTCACCATGCTCAATAGCATCTTAGAGGCTCTGATAAGTCCTGCAATAAAGGAATGCCTTTTGCTTTCACCAGAGATCCCTTTTTCAAGGGACTCCTAGGAACATCTCATGAGATTAGTGGGCTTTCCATCACTGTCTTGTCCCATCTGGTCCTCACAACTGCCCTGTAATTTGAGGTTATTATCTTTATGTCCCATGAGAACACTGAGACCAAGAACTTTAATGATTTGCCCAAGGCTCTGCAGCTAGGAATGGTCAGATTAAAGTCCAGGACTTGACACTATAAGTCTGGGGCTTTGTCCCTAATTTAGCATTTTGTTACAGTGGCATTTGTCACTTACATGCCTGCTTGCCTTCCCCACGGGGCTGTCAGTGCATTGAGAATAAATAGTCTCTGAATCTTCCTTTATACATAGAGGTTATTGCATTTTTTCTAATTAATAAAGTGTACATATGTTTTGAGGGGGAATACAAAAAGTTATAGAGGAGGAAATCCAAATATTAATAAAAATTTAACTAGTTGGGCTGCTTTCTGATTTGGAGGCCCATTTCCTCAGATCTGTCTCCCCACCCCCCGAAGATTTAGCTACTGCTGGCAGGGGGTGGGGGCTGGTGGCTCGGGGTGGTTGCTGGATTTCAGTTAAGATCAGATGGATGCTGCTCCAAAATAACCAATAAGATAAATCAGGAAACACTTATTGATTGAACACAAATTTTACAAACTACAAATGTTAAATTCTTATATCATTTGGTCTGTATAATAATGACTTTTTACCCAGCTGTCTCCTGAATAAGACCTAAGTTGATGAAATTCACTATATAATTAAACAAGCTACTTTCAAAAAATAACAAATCCCAAATTCTGAGTTTTGAAAGATTATATACTTTTCACCAAGCTGTCTGTACAAAGCTGAACAACAAGAAAAGATAAACACTGGTTTGTGACCAACAGACAAAAATTGTTTCTGAAATATTTATATTTCATGTGAATCAGATTAAAAACTAAAATGAAATAGTAAAGGTAATAATGAAATACTAAAGGTAAAAATTTTAAAGAATGTATTTTTGTAAAGCAGGCCACAGATGAAGAAGTAGCAAGGTCCCTGGAGTAGTCAAATTCAGAGAGACAGAGAGTTGAGTGGTGGTTGCCAGTGGCTGGGAGGTGGTGGGTGTGGAGAGTTGTTTAATGAGTACAGAGCTTCAGTTTTGCAAGATGAAGAGAATTCTGGAGATTGGTTGCACATCAATGTGAACATACTTAACACTACTAAAGTGTACATTTAAAAATGGTTAAGGGGCTGGGCATGGTGGCTCATACCTATAATCCCAGCACTTTGGGAGGCTGAGGTAGGAGGCTTGCTTGAGACTAGGAGTTTGAGACCAGCCTGAGCAACACAATAAGACCCTTTCTCTACAAAAAAAAAAAAAAAATTTTTTAAGCTGAATGTGGTGGTGTGCACATGTAGTCCCAGCTACTCGGGACACTGAAGCAGAAGGATCACTTGAAAATAGAAATTAGAGGTTACAGTGAGCTATGGTTGTGCCACTACACTCCAGCCTGGGTGACAGAGTAAGACCATGTTATGTCTCTAAAAATAAAAGGTTAAGATGGTAAATTTTATGCTATGTGTATTTTACCACAATTAAAAAGTTTAAATAAGAAATAGCAAATCATAGTGAATAAATATGTAAAAAAAAGTTTTAAATATATTTATATGAAGTTCAAGAACAGGCAAAATAATCCCTGGTGATAGTGATTACCCTGGGGAGGAGACTTGGTGGCCAGAAGGGGACAGAAGGGGGGGGGGCTTCTGAGGTGCATAGAATGTTCTACTCTTGCTCCAGATGCTGGTTTCACAAGTCTGTCTATTCAGTTTGTAAAAAAATGTAGACATTGTACAATTACGATACGTCCATTTTTCTTTAGGTATGTTAAACTTTTTAGTATATATCTTTTTAAAGAAAGATTCCTGTTGGAGGGGAAAGAGAAAACAAAGTCAGGCCTGAGAATGCAGCTTTGAGATACATCTGGCAGAAGCAGCAGGGGAGCCCTTGACGGGTGTGGGACTGCAAACCCCCACTCTCATGCCTTCTTTCCCCCTCGGCTGAGATCCTGAAGGATGGGGCTGGGTCTAATTCGTGTTTGTAAAAACATTTCTAAAGCATTGCACAAGGGTACAGACTAATACGAAGCTGCAAGAAGGTACACAGCAGATGTTTGTTGAATGAATGACTGAGTGTATGGAAGGAACCCTCACATAGGTGGATGCCCTGGTGGGAATGGCTGGTTGTGGATGTTGTGTCTACGAGGCCACAGGTTCAGCCTTGCTCAGTTTCTCCACGTGGAAACAAGGAGGATGATAGCTGCCCTCCCCACCCACGGCCCGAGAGAGTCCTTGGGACACTCAAGGGACATAATTCAAAGGTAGCAGGAAGCACTTGAGTGTGTCTGATGTGCTTTGCTGTGCCTCCTCTGTTTCCGTCACCTGCATGAACAGCAGAACGGACGTGGTCACTGCAGAGAGTTCTCTGTTATTCAAAAGCTCGGTCCTTCCATTTTAAGTACTTGGATTTCATTGCCTTTATTTTCATAGATGGAGCTGCTTCAGGAGTTGATGAAGGAGTTGCCCTCCTTCATCAATGCAATCACATTTTCATAATACCTTCTGGGGAAAGAAATGCCCACTACGACTGTCATCTGTGATTGAATGGAAGTAAACTGCTTTTCGGACGATTCTGATTTTAGGTGGCGGGAAGGTGTCATCTGAGCTAAGATCTGCCCGAAGGACTCTGACCCACTCACTAAAAATCTAGCTCTCCAGGACATTCCTAAACTTCATTATCTAATGTCCCTTGGCCTATTCTGGCAGTTTTATTCAATATAGACAAAGGCCGGGCGCGGTGGCTCACGCCTGTAATCCTAGCACTCTGGGAAACTGAGGTGGGTGGATTGCTCAAGGTCAGGAGTTCGAAACCAGCTTGAACAAGAGCGAGACCCCGTCTCTAATATAAATAGAAAGAAATTAATTGGCCCACTAAAAATACATAGAAAAAATTAGCCGGGCATGGTTGCACATGCCTATAGTCCCAGCTACTCAGGAGGCTGAGGCAGGAGGATTGCTTGAGCCCAGGAGTTTGAGGTTGCTGTGAGCTAGGCTGATGCCCCGGCACTCACTCTAGTCTGGGCAACAAAGTGAGACTCTTTCCCCCCCCTCAAAAAAAAATATATATAGACAAAGATTGGAAACACCCCAAATCCCCATCAACAGGAGAATGGGTACACGGATTGTGATATGCATGTAACAGAATACTACTCAGTGTGCTTCTCTTGGCAGGAGGTGGAAGGAGAACGAGGAAGGAAGAGAGGTCGCATGTGAGTCCCCACATGGCAGAAGAGTGAACCCAGCCCGCCAGCCCTCTCTACGGCACTGATGCATCCACGAGGGTAGAGACTCAGGATCCAAACACCTCCCCAAAGGTCACACCTCCCCAAAGGTCACACCTCCCAACACGGTTGCATGGGGGATTTCAGTTTCCAACACATGAATTTAGGGGGACACAGTTAGACCACGGCACCGTATTTCCTGTTAATATGCGCGTCTCTGCAATGAAGGTCTCTGGACATCGCGGTCTGAGCACATTTCTGGCTATTTTTAAGATTGCATTCCTGGGAATGTTGGTGAATTGATGGGTGACCAAAACGTTCTTTTTTTCGTGAGAGGCAGTGGCTAAGGGCATAGACCCTAGAGTCAAATTGCCTGGGGTTGAATCCTAGCTCTGCCACTTACAGGCCGTGTGACTCCGGACAAGTCACTTCATCTCTCTGTGTCTGCAAATGGGCACAGTAGCAGCACCAACCCCCCGGGGCTGTTGCATGAGTTAAACGAGTGACTGTGCGGGAAGCACCTGGAGTTGCCTAGCACGCGGCGTATATACTACAAAGTGTTTCTTCTCCTCCTTATCTTCCTCCCCTTATTATTACTATAATCGTATAATTACTGTTTTTTTTCTCCCTGTAAAATGGAGCGTCACAGTGGAGCTGCCACCCAGGGACAGTCAGGAGGGCCGTCCTGGAGATGACTAAGACATTTCTGACTCAGCTGGGGTCGGCAGCCGCACTGCGAGGAGAGCTGAGCCTTGGCGGACACTTCTCATGGAGGAAGGCTGGCCCTGAAACCTGGAGGCTGAATCTTTCCCAACAAACAGAAACATACTTATGCACGTCACCTCCAGAGTGCTGGCCCTTGTAAACTGTGCCGCGGTGGCGCGAACCATTTTGGGGAATCTCCTTCCTCTGCCATCACCCCAATCTGAACTAGCCGCGCCCTGAACATTTATTTGGTTAGAGCTCCTTTTTCAAACATCAGCGATCGTGCTCAGGTTTACAGTTATTTGTGCCTGAGTCCACCTCCCACGCTGGCTTGCGACCCTGTATCCCCTGGCCTGCGTGCAGCGTTAATGCGTCATAAACACTGGCTTTGTTGCTCAGTTGTGTGGAGACCCCAGGAGCCTTCTTCTGAATGTCCCCAGCGTGGCCAATCTGTCATCTGGCGGGTGGATGTGACTCTAGGAGACCACACAAAGTGATTCTGTGTCAAGTTTGCTGAATGAATTGACCCATGCCAATTCTGTCCTATAAATAAATTTACAAGACTGGTTTTCTTGAGTGCCTCGTAAGCCAGGGTCTAGCTGCCATTCTCCCAGAAGCGTTCCAGAAAGAATGTTGAGCCGGGCCTTAGACCAGGCGTGGGGCGTCTGTGGGGCGTCAAGGCTGACTGCGCGGCTCATCCCGCATGGGCTGCAATGCTGAGATTGGCCACCAGAGGGGGGCCGTGTTCCAGACCCCACCACGGAGGCTCCGCAACTGCTCCAAGAACTTTAGCTTATAAAGACGGCGGCGGGAGCGGCGGCAGTCCATATCTCAGCCAGTACCTAGTGGCGCTGCGGTGCCTCCTCAGGACATCTCCGGATTGCTGCCCGAGGCGGGCACCGGGACAGGGACTCCAGGTGCAGACTCCCACTCAGAGTCTCCGAGGCACAGACCCCCCGTGTGCCACAGGTTGAGTCTTGCCTCCTGCAGAAGTGACCCTCTCCATCCTGCCGGGAGTCCAGTCCCTGGATGCCCTGCAGCCTCGTTCTATGACTCCGTCTGGATTTGGCTGGCTGTGGGGACAAGCTCGGAGGGGCTGCCTGGGACTCAGTGTGGTGGCAGCCAGCTCTCCAGCCACCATGGCTGATGCTGGGAACTGAGAGGACAGGCTCTGCAGCCCCAGCCAGGGACACTCAGGTGAGTCTTGGTGCTAACTTTATCCTATCTCCTGGGCATGGTGTCCCAAAGGCAGCCGGAGGACACTGGGATGTGCTGGATGGAGCAGAGAACCAACTTTGGGGGTCTTCAGGATGTATGGTGGAGGTGCCTGCTCCAGGTGGGGAGGTCCCGGCTGTCTGAGCCTGCGGACATCAGCTGGGCCCTCATCCAGCTGCCGGGGCTGAAGGGGGTGAGCCTGCAACTGGGGCACCAGAGGGAAGCTATGGCCTTGGTGGCAACTCTGCTTGGCTCCTGTCAGAGTTCCAGAGCCAATTCAGGGAGCAGATAGTACAGGTGACAATGTCTGTCCACGTGTGTGTGTGTGTGTGTGTGTGTGTGCACGTGCCCAGTGGGGGGACACGGGAAGGGAGAGGTGACGTATAAAGCATCTGCACCTCTCCAGCTTTGGGTTATGATTTAGGTTAGCTAAGTACAGTTAGAGGAGGAAAGCGTGTGAAACCTACTCGGTGATTATCTCTCTGGAGGGGGCCACGTTCACAGTGACTGCTGGAACCCAGAGATGCTGTCTTGGGAGCAGCAATAGGCTCATGCCACGCCCTCAGCTGGAGAGACTCACTGAGGCCTTCGGATGCCCAGAGAGGGACTTGGAGAGGCAGGGTCCAGTTTCAGCCCCGGGCTGCATTCACCACTGTCTTCTGCAAGGGACCCCAGACAGCTTTGGTCCTGGGACTGGCTAGGAAGGAGGGAGGCCCCAGGAGCCCAGACACCCCCTGTCTGCATGCTCAGCAGGGTCAGAAGATGCTGGGGTGGTGGAGGGTGTTGGTTCTCATTGGACTCTGCCACCAGCCCACCTTGTGACCTGGTTTGTAAAGCCTTTCTTCATGCATTTTCGCATGTGAGGGTCACAGTGATGCTGAGTGGCTGGCAGCTGTGGACCCTCCCATCTTAAAGGTGATGCACCTGAGGCTGAACGCGGTCAGCTGACTGGGCCGAGTTCCCTGAGAAATAAAGAGAAGAGCAGGATGGGAGACCTGGGCCTCTGTGCTCCCCACTTGTCTGCACAGAGCCCAGGGAGGGGTGCACAGATGGCTTTTTTAGCTCTAAAATACAGAATGTGGAAGTAGATCCTTGGTGCCTTGGGTGCAATTGCCTGGAAGGGAATCATGACACTCCAGGAGGTCAGTAGAGCGTCCCCTCCTGGCTTAGAGGGAGGCCTCCCTCTTTGACTTGAAGCACAGAGGTCCACGTCCTTGGATTTCTGCCACAGGTAACTGTGGCTTCCACGCCCTGCTTGTGTGTCGCCTGCCCTGCTCCCTCCCTTCAAGCTCGCAGAGCCTCTCCTCAGTCCCAGGGTCCCCACCTGGTGGGGTCATTGGCTGGCTCTCTGAGGTGTGACCCTCTTCACCCTGAAGGTGGCCCCCGAAAGGGGCTGGCATGTGCCTTCCAGAAAGAGCAGCCGTGGGGCTGGGCCAGGGCTCCGTGTGGGAAGCCCCTGCCTGGTGCCTCTTCCTGCACTGATACCTGTTGTTCTTGCCTCTCTGGCCTTGGTTGGTTCAACTTTTAAATGGGGGTGATGGAACGGGAATGCCACCTGCCTGCCACTCTCACTGTGCTCCTGGGAGGAGCTCACAGGGAGATCCCGGGTGGCAACTGGCCTGTGCCCTGTGGGGCGGGCACACGCGCCAGGAGGGTGCACTGTCGTCCCCACTCTCATCGTTAGTTGTTTCTTTCCCGAGAGCACAAACATGGTCCCAAGGCAGTAAGACCTGTGATCTGAGCGTCCAAATGCCTGTCCCCCACTCCCAAGAAAGAAAAATAACCCCAAATAAAACCTGGGCAGACAGAATGTGCTTAGGTTTCATTTCCAAGTAACAAACATTAGCAGAGTTGGCTGCGCATTTCCAAACCCATCCCGTTATCTGGCCCCCACTCGGCCCCGGCCCCTCCCCCCAGCAGTCCCCCGGGGCTCCTGCTCCAGCAGCTGAGGGGCGGAGGGCCGCCCGCCCCCCGGACACGAGCTAGCTCTGGCCAGGAGCTGACCAGAGGAGGGGGATGGTGGAAGTGGCCATGGGGCCCCACACCTCCCCTCCACAGCGGCAGCGCCTGTCCGGCTCTGCGTGACCTCTGGACAGCAGTGGCTGTTGCCTTGGCAGAGAGAGGGTCATCGCAGGCAAGGAGACACTGGCAGAGAGAGGGTCATCGCAGGCAAGGAGACACTGGCAGAGAGAGGGTCATCGCAGGCAGAGGAGACACTGGCGGAGAGAGGGTCATCGCAGGCAGAGGAGACACTGGCGGAGAGAGGGTCATCGCAGGCAGAGGAGACACTGGCGGAGAGAGGGTCATCGCAAGGCAGGAGACACTGGCGAGAGAGGTCATCCGCAGGCAGAGGAACCACTGGCGGGAAGAGGTCATCGCAGCAGAGGAGACACTGGGGAGAGGGTATCGCAGCAAGGAGACACTGGCGGAGAGAGGGTCATCGCAGGCAGAGGAGACACTGGCGGAGAGAGGGTCATCGCAGGCAAGGAGACACTGGCTTCTGCTTCTTGGCCCCCCAGGAGCGAGGCCAGAGGGAGGGTCCCGCACTCAGAGCTCATAAAACAAGGGAGGGTCGCCTGCAGCTCAGCAGTGATGGAGCTGCCAGGGGCCCCGCCTAGAGGCCCCCACTGGTGGAGGACTTGGGTGGAGGCTGGGACAGGGAGACCAGCACACTGGACACCACGTGGCGCAGCGAAGCTGGGGCGGACGGTGTCTGGGGCGGGGAGGAGGGATCCCGCTGCAGCAGGGGACCCGCCCCTCTTCCAACCCTCCATGGGCTAGAAGAAAGGCTCGCAGGGACTGGGAACACCATGGCTCTGTGTGTGTGCACACGTGTGTGGGCGTGTGGGTGTGCACGCACCCACGTGTGGGGCATGTGGAGAAGAGATAAGAACAGAAGTCCCCACCCTCCTGTGGTGTTGCAAGGACATTGACAGGAGCCAGTCAGCCGGCCTCTTTTCAGCCCCTCACGTCAGAGGTCTCTGGAGGCCAAGTTCAAGGCATGAAAATCACGTTTTGCTCCTCCTGGCAGAGCATCCCGGCCAGCCTCCCCCACCGTTGTCCCTATTTATGAAACAGTGAGGACGCCTCTGTCCCCACCCTGCCTCTGGAGAGGACCCGATTGACTGAGCTTTCCAATCAACTGCATCATTCCCCCACTGCCACCTGCCAGGCACCCCGTTCTCCCCGGCTTTGCTCCGTGCTGGGCCTGGGACCCATCCTCCTAACAGCTTTGCCTCCCAGAGATTCATTGTTAAAAAGCAGATGTTTGGGGTTAGATGTCGAGATAGTTAAGAGCATCAGAAGTGCTGGAACGGAGAGGAAAGCAAGAGTAATTTATAAAGTCACTGAGCGTGAATGTGAGAAAAGCAAAATCAAGTATTTTGTGTAAATACTTAGTAAGTTTGCTGGAAAAATGGACTTTTCTCATTACACAAAGAATGCAAATGCATCACAGAAAACCCAGAAAATCCGCAAGCTAAAAAGCAATAGAAAATCTCCACACTCTGTGCCAGCAGCCACCCGGAACATCTCCTAGCTTCCCACCCATTTACACGTGCACACACGTCACACAAGTGCGTGTTACAGAATGGGACTGTGTTGTTCACACTGTTGTGTAAATGGGCTGTTTTGCTTCAAGGAGCACAGGTTTTCCCAAGTCAATCAGTGGGTAGTTTCTGGAACACTGTGGGTAGATAGAGCCAAAGACCCAGTGAGCCAGCCTCAGGGACCATCTGGACACGAGCCCTCCTGGTCTATGGCTGGAGGGGGTCCCCACAGAGGCTGCCTGCTCCTGGCGCCACCGGGCCAGATAACTTCCTGCTGGGGTCCCATGGAGCCAAGCCCCTTCTGACCACACCAGCCCAGCTGGTTTGGGGAGCAGTTCTGGTCTTCTCTGCTGTGTTGGCTGGTGTCTGCACCCCTCTCAACACGTCTAGTTTCCTTCCTTTCCAACACAGAACAGAACCCCAGAGGGCTCCTAAACGTCTCCCCGGTCAACCTCTGGGTCAGCAGGGTCGCCTCCTGCAGGCCCCACCTGGCATGGCCCACCATGGCCCCAGCCCCACCAAAGGTGGCTCAAAGGAAGGGACAGGTCCCTCAATCAGAAAGGTCCAAAGAGCCCTGGTCTTCCAAAGCATTGAGGGAGTTGGGGTGGGGGCTCGGGGGTCCAGGGACCTGGAGGGTGGCATTGGATCCTGTTGGTGAGGAGACGGTCCCAGAGTTCATGCTCAGGGTCACGGGGTGGGCATCTTGTTCTACCCATTCGTCCACCAGTAGTTGATTCTCTGTCTCTGTCTCCTGCCCCTGTCCTTCCTCTCCTCCCCTCGCCATCTCTCCTGCAGGACGTGATGGAGAACAAAGCCATGTACCTGCACACCGTCAGCGACCGCGACACCGGCTCCATCCTCGAGGAGCCCTTTGACGGGAGGAGTCTGTCCAAGCTGAACCTGTGTGAGGACGGTGAGTGCTTCTGGCTCAGTCTTGGGGTGCGAGATCTGGCCAGGGGGCGAGTGACCTCCCTGTCCAGTTCTGCATATGTTGAACTTCATTCCTCAAAAGGGCTTTTCCATGGGATTCCTCATTCCCTCATCTCAGCAAACCTGTTCCATCAGCAAGACGAGTACCCATTTTACAGATGGGTAAAGTGTTGAGGCTGAGAAAAACAGTAAGAAACACACACCCGCCAGTCAGACAGAGGTTCCCATGCCAAGTCTGCTGACTGCGAGGGCAGCCCCTCTGTCCTGAGAGAGTGAGGCTGGGGTCAGGCGAGGGTATCTGAACCAATCAGCCCAGGTGAGGGGAGGGGCAAACGCACCTCTCCAAGGTCTCACACTGGGTGGGTTCTGCGGCCGGTGAGCAGGAGGCGCAGCATGCCGGGGGCTGGTTCTTTGCTGAGACTGGAGATCCAACTGATGCGGCTTCCCCCAGAGGAGCCCAAGCCCTGTTTCGGCAGCTTGATTTGGCAGCCTGCACTCCGTGCAGGGCTTGGCACTCCTTAGGTGCCTAATAAATGCTTGCACGTGAGCGAATACACCCCCACTGCAGCGCATGCTGGAGAGGAGAGCTTTGTTCCCACTTCGAAGAGGCATGGAGTGCAGCTGGCAGAAGAGTCTTACGAGGACTTCTGGCCACGCAGAGACAGGCCTTTCCTCGTGTTTCCCTCCAGCGCCGCACTCAGTCGTGCTCCGCTTGGCCGGCTCAAGGGCTCCCCTCTCGCTCCCAGCCTGCCTGACCTCCGGCCAGGTGCCGCGTGCGGGCAGGAGGTCGGGGCTCCTGCTCGCCTACCCTGGGGAACCGTCCACCCCTGGGGCTCCCGCAGCATGTCAGGCTGTGGTTTAGGGGCCTGCGTGCTCCTAAGAGACACTAACCCAGCCTGTGCCCTCAAAGGGCTAATGATCCCAGCAGAAGGGGCTGGCGGGGGAACGGTGGCCCAAAATTTAAAGTAGGTTAGGACAGGTGTGGATGTTGAAGTCAAGCAGACAGTTTCCTGGAAAAGGCCTCGGAGCCTAGTAGAGATCAGAGAAGAGAAGGGGCGGGGAAAGCATCTCCCGCAGTGCGATGGCAAGCTGGGCAGCATTTCTGTTGGGTTCTGCCCCTTGGGCAGAGGGAAGGCCCTGGGGTGCCACCCCCTGCAGCCCCCCAACAGTGTGTCCACAAAGGGGAAGCTGCCGGCCACATCCACACATGTCAGTAAAGGGGCCGGGTTGGTTTGGCCAGAAGGAACGGGGCACAGCACAGCGGGGTGACTGGGGAGGCCCCAGGGCCAGCCCGGGGGCCAGGGGGCCATGGTGGCTGTCACTGGGACAACCTTACCCTCTTCCCCTTACCTCTTCTTACTCTCCCTTTTTCTGAACCCCAGATTTCAAAAGCTCATTTGGATCAGAAGGACTGAAAAATAACAGTAATCCCCGTTGCTGTGCTTTTCGGGTCCCCAGCTGTGGGGAGACCTGCCAGAGGGCATTTTGAGAGCCCTGCTGGCGAGTGTCCTGTACGTGGGGTCCCCCGAGGCCCAGTCTCTGTGGGCCGCAGTGCCTTCATCTCCCACACAGGGACGCAGTAGGGTTTTTCTGAGGTCCTGTCTGGTTCTGAAATTCTGTGCGTGAAAGCAGACCTGGCCATGGCGTGAGGGGTGTGGTTCTGGTAAACCCTAAGTCAGCGGCTCCCACTTCAATTAGAAGGCCGAGCCTTCTCCCTGTGCACTGCCAGGTCCCCACGGCTGCTGACCTTCACCATGAACCTGCCGGCTGCTCGTGGGGCCTCTGCCCCAGAAGGGTGTTCTCCTGGCTGGGGTGCGCAGCCCATTCCAGCCGACCTGAGCCCTCCCCTCCTCCCCTCCCAGAGCCCCTCCTGTCGCCCTGTGAGCCCTTCCCCCTTTCCCCGCCTCTCTTTCCTTTCTTCTGTCATCCTATTTCCTTCTACCACATTGTAATCTTCTTATTCATTACATTTATCGTTCATTGTCTGTTCCCCATGGCAAGAATATTGGCCAGACAAGGGCAGGCATCTCTGTTTAGTTCATTGATGTCTCCTAAGCCCAGCATGCAGCCCGTGTCCACTAGGTCTCTGTGGAATGAATGAATGAATGAATGAATGAATGAATGAATGAATGAATGAATGAATGAATGAATAAGTGAACGAACAGAGGGGTCCTTCTAAAGCTGATGGCCGAATTCTCTTGGTCTCCCCCACTCCTCGTTCCCAGGACATGAGAAGCCCAGACAGAGAGCCAAGTGTTGAGATGAAACCAGTAACTTAAAAGCTTGTCAGTTTCTGATTTGATTTCTTCCCCTTTCCCTCCCATTCAAGAGGAAAACAATGAGCTTGACTTGGGGAAATCCAAGCCAGATTTGGTTATGTTTCTGAAGGATTTTGCTGCTGCTTGGATCCTCCTCTCTTCAGAGGGAGGGCAAGGGGTGGGCTGGGCGGGAAGGTGTGGAAGGAAGGGGTGAGCCAGCCCCCTAAACCTGGCCGGGAGGACGTCCTCTCAAATGTGGGGCCAGAGGTGGGAGGTGGGGAGGGGCCGAGGCACTTCCTCCTGGAGGCCGCCATGGGGGTGTTGGGATGGGAGGCCGAGCTGCATAAGCACAGCTGGGATTGCAAGGTGTGACTCCAACGTGAGTGCAGGTGGGACCTTCAAGGCAGCAGGTGTAAGGTGAATGCATAGGGTCTGCTGAGCCTCCCTGCTCCTGTGCCTTTGTGTCCCGTCCTGGGGAGGTCCCCACCCTCCCCACCCCTCCCCATATTCTCTCCCAGGCAGCACCCTCTCCCCTGCTCCCTGGCTCCATGTATTGCTCCCCCAGGCGTGTCCCTGCCGAGTCTCAGTCTGAATCTTTAATGGCACCTCTGTGTCCTGCTCGCTCGGGGTGAGCTGTTCTGCTCTGATGCAGCTGCTGCCCGCAGTGTGCTTGTCCACCCCGACTAGACGGGAAGCTCCCTGAGGTTGGGAAGGTGTTTTGCTCTCCTTTGAATTCTCTTGGGACTTTGTGGGTGGCCGGTGCTCAGACGTCTTTGGGATTGTTGATGATGTGCCAAGGCCACTCGAGTAGTTAGTGGCAGAGCTGGGACCTGACTCTGAGCCTCCTTACCTGCAATGCAGGTTCCTTCCTAGGGGAGGAACCCACATCCTTCAAGGCTCCCCCAACACAGCCCCTGCTCTGTGACGCCCCTGGGGCTCCCCTGCTCTGCACGCCTTGGCGAAGCCACCTCTGGGAACCTTCCTCCTTCCTCGCATCTTAGCCATCAGCATTCTCTTGGGAGCATTGATGGGAAGGCTGAAGAAGGGCAGGGACCGTCCTGCTCACCTGGCTGGCATCCACCTGTGCGGCCGGGACTGCTTGGAAGGGCCAATCCCAAATGGGGCCTGGAAGGTTCTTTAGCCAAGCCGCCCCTGAGGGGCGCTCACTCTCTCACTGGGCCGTGGGCCTGCCCCTCACTTCTTCCATCTTCCCCTTCCCACTCCCCCCTCCATGCCTTAGTTTCCCCCATGCAGCTGGCCTCTCCCATCTGGCGCCAGGAGGCCAAGGAGGAGGCTGGGCTGGGAGTGGGTGGGTCCGGCTGGTTCTGGCTCCGCCGAGGGCCAGAGAGAGGTGTTAGTGTCAGAGGAACGCTGCAGTCCTGCCTGCCCCCGCCTCTCCTGGCGTCATCCCTGGGCTCACAGGGGACGCGGGAGTAATGAGTTGCACATGCTCCTGGCCCTGCTGCCCGGCACTTGCTGACTCAGGCCCGGGCTCCCCATTCCTGTGCTCCTTCCCCATAAAATGACATTATTCTCCTGGGGGAGCCCCCAATCTACCTCTCATCTGTCAAATCTCCCCAGTTCACTGGCCCAAGCATGGGCGTGGATTTCCTGGGAGGGCCCCCGGCTGGGGCCTCAGGAAGGTCACTGCCCTCTACAGGTTGGACAGTCTGGCTGGGGTGGAGGAGTAGGGCTATTAACCCGTTCAGAGCTGCAGCCCACTCGGGGACTTGTCCCTGTTAAGCAAGCACAGAGAGCAAAGCACTGTGAGAGTGACTGTGGTCACTGGGGGACTTTCTTGCCCAGGGGGCTGTCCCTGCAGCACATGGGAGCAGCCTGGTGAGGGGGAGGAGCCTGGGTCTTGCGTGTGCCGGGCCTCGGCTGGACTCCACAGACCACACACGAGCCATGTGACCTTGGCCACATGAACTCAGGCTCGAGCGGGGGCTTCTGTTTGCCTCTCCGTTCTTCACTCTGCCTCGTTGGGTCACCTCGGGCTGGTCCTGTCCTCCCACCAAAGGACACAGCTCCTCCCAGGCCGCCTTCTCTGCGTGGATTTTCTCCTTCCAGCTTCCTGTAACCGCTCCCGTCTCTGACCCTTTGGGATCAGGTGGTTCCAGCCAGAGGACCCTGCTCTATCCTTGTGGGCGTCCCCTTTGATATGTTCCTTTTATTAAACCCTGTGACATCTCCTAATCTGAGTGGGCCCCCTGTTTCTTCCAGGGCCCGACACTCTGGCTCTTAGTGTCCTTGTCTGCAAGACGAGAGTAATGTCACCAACCTCAGAGGGGCTGTGGCAGAAGCAAGTGATAGAACCCAGGCACAGCACCTTGCACACGGTGGACCTCGACCCACATCTGTGTCCCTCCCTGCAGACCCTGGGAGAGTAGGGGAGAAAAGGGGGCGGGACGAGGAGGTCAGGAGGAGCTGCTGCCACCTACGGCCCCCGGAACCACCACACCACTGCTCGGGGACCTGCGTCCCGGAGGGTGTTCTAAGGCTGATCCTGAACCTTCAGCTGAAGAAAGTAGAGTTTTGGTTAGTGGGCTTTTCATGAGGCCTAGATACCCAGGGAAATTGAGCAAATCCTATTTCTCGAATGCAGAATCCATAGGAATATTCTGGGTCCCGCAGGTTCCCGGCTGCGTGGCGTGCATGAGTCTCTCCTTTCCCTACCCCGATCGGAGGCACTTTGCTTCCTGAGGTTTGAGGCCGGCGGGGCCCA